AAGTACAAATGAGGGTTTCAGAATAAAAGTGAGAAGACCATCTCTGTTCTATTCAGTTCCTGTTTCTAAGTTACAGTGGCCTTCTCCCAACGGTGGCTCCCATGTCCATCCTGGAAGTCATCTGCATTTCAATCCTGGAAGGCATGAGAAATCAGGAAGAAGTGAATGGACATGTTGTTGTTGCCAGGCCAGAAAGTAATGTTCATCCCATGTGTCCATATCCCTCCAAAAGAGCTCAGTTACATGATCACACACACAGTAGCAAGTGGCTGAGTATGCATACTGTCTGTGCAAAAGAAAGGACAGTTTTGTGTGAATGTGTGTGTGTTTTTTGTTTTTTGAAAATAAATAGCTAGTCTCTACTATGCATGATTTCTCCCTTATGTGAATTCTCTGATGTCTGCTTAGGTGTGAATTTTGACAAAAGATGTTCCATATTCATTACAATCAGCCTTCCATATGCACAGGATCCACATCTGTGGATTCAACCAAGCATAGATCAAAAATATTTGGAAAAAAAAATAGTACAGCAATACAAATCATATTAAAAAATTACAATGACTATTTATATAGTTTTTACTATATTCAGTAGTATAAGTAATTTAAACATGTGTTAAATTATACAGCAGAATGTTACACAAACAGTACACCATTTTATATAAGACTTGAGTGATGCATCCTGAAGTGTGTTCCTGGTAAGCCACAGATTTCAGTATCCATGGAAAGTTTTGAAACCAATCCCTGTGGATACCAAAGGACAGCTGTACATTCACAGGTTCCCTCTTTTATGTGAGTTCTCTGATGCATCCTGAAGTGTGACTTCTGATAAAAGGCTTTTCCATTTTGTTACATTCATGAGGCTTTCCCCATGTGAATGTGCTCATGTCTAGGAAGGTTTGATTTCTGGTAGAAAGAATTCCTACATTCATTACATTCAAATGGTTTTACAATTGTGTGAATTCTTTGGTGTACACTGAGGCTTGCTTTACTGTAGAAAGTTTTCCCATATTCTTTCTATTCATTTGGATTCTCACCTGTGTAAATTCGCTGATGCTTGCTGAGGTTTGACTTCTGGTGAAGTTTTTCCACATTCATTACATACATAGGGCTTCTCCTCTGTGCGAATCTCTGATGCATGCTGAGGTTTGACTTCTGGTGAAGTTTTTCCACATTCATTGCATACATAGGGCTTCTCCTCTGTGCGAATCTCTGATGCATGCTGAGGTTTGACTTATGTTTGAAGGTTTTTTTCACACTCATTATATTGATAGGGCCTTTACTATGTGTGGTCCAAGTTATAGTAGAAAGATTTTGTACATTCTTTATATTCATATGGTTTCTCACCCATGTGAGTACTGTGATGTACACTGAAGTGTGATTTACTTTAGAAAATTTTTGCACATGTTTTCTTTTTTTTTTTCCTTTTTGTCTTTTTTCGTGACCGGCAGTGGATCGCAACCCTCAAGTGTCGCGCCCGTACCGGACCGGGACGGGATCGCAACCCTCGGTGTTGCTCCTGCCCCTCGCTCAGCCAGTGAGCGGCCAGTCTGTATGCGGGATCCGAACCCTCGGCGGGAGCGCCACAGTGCTTCCCAAGCGGCGCATTATAGCAGTGTGCCACCGGGCCGGCCCATGCACATGGTTTCTTACCTGTGTGAATTCTCTGATGCCTGCTGAGGATTGACTGCCTCTGTAAGGGTTTTCCACATTCACTACATTCATATGGTTTCTCACCTGTGTGAGTTCTCTGATGTACACTGAGGCATGATTTATGGTAGAAAGTTTTTCCACACTCTTTACATTCATATGGTTTCTCACCTGTGTGAATTCTCTGATGTATACTGAGGTATGGTTTACAGTGGAAAGATTTTCTACATTCTGCACATTTATATGGTTTCTCACCTGTGTGAATTCTCTGCCGACTGCTGAGGAGTGAATTCTGGTGGAAGCTTTCCCCACATTCATCACACACATATAGCTTCTCCCCTGTATGTGTCCTCTTATGTATTGCAAGGGGTAACTTCTTCATGAACAATTTATCACATTCACTACATTTATAAGGTTTCTGTTCTGTGTGTATTTTCTGATGCTCAGTGAGTTCAGAATTTTCACAGAACATTTTCCGACAAATAAACTGAAAAGTTTTCTCTAATAGAGGAATTATCTCTTGGGCAAGAACAGCTGACTTATGAAAGACTTTCCCATAATCAAATTTATAGGATGTCTCTCCCATATACACTTTTTTATGTCCCAATAATATTGGCTCTGTATTGAAGAATTTCCATTGTCCACTATATTCAAAAAAGCCTGCTGCTGAGCTTGAATCTTGGAATGCTGATTAAGATGCTTACAGTGTCTCCACAGTTTCCCAGTTATATTACCCTCATCAGATTTCTCTCCAGCATGCATCCGATCAGCCTCTCTAGGAGGAAGTGCATTCCAACATATGTTAAACTTTTTGCACCTCATTCCTGAATAGTTTTCACTATTTATAATTGAATTTGAAATGTGGTTTGAGCTCAAATGAAATGTTTTTTCTAATTCAACTCTCTTCTCAGTTGATGTATTGCTGTTGGTAATTACAATTTGCTGCAAATGCGTATCATGACATTCTTGACTTTTTGTAATTAGACCTTCAACTATCTGGATATCTAAAATAAGAAAATATAACCATATCCATAAGCCACACATAAGTATTGTTTAAATGTGCTTGTAAAGGTAAAGAAGTTTTTTTTCACATCCTCATGGCATAGGATTGAGTAAAAATGAATAACAGATAATGGTTTTATAAGTATATATGTTTCCTACATACTACCATAATGTAATAAATTGTATTAATATATTTTCTAANTCTCCTCTGTGCGAATCTCTGATGCATGCTGAGGTTTGACTTCTGGTGAAGTTTTTCCACATTCATTGCATACATAGGGCTTCTCCTCTGTGCGAATCTCTGATGCATGCTGAGGTTTGACTTACGTTTGAAGGTTTTTTTCACACTCATTATATTGATAGGGCCTTTACTATGTGTGATTTTTCTTATGTTTATTGAGGTCCAAGTTATAGTAGAAAGACTTTGTACATTCTTTATATTCATATGGTTTCTCACCCATGTGAGTACTGTGATGTACACTGAAGTGTGATTTACTTTAGAAAATTTTTGCTCATGGTTTCTTACCTGTGTGAATTCTCTGATGCCTGCTGAGGATTGACTGCCTCTGTAAGAGTTTTCCACATTCACTACATTCATATGGTTTCTCACCTGTGTGAGTTCTCTGATGTACACTGAGGCATGATTTATGGTAGAAAGTTTTTCCACACTCTTTACATTCATATGGTTTCTCACCTGTGTGAATTCTCTGATGTATACTGAGGTATGGTTTACAGTGGAAAGATTTTCTACATTCTGCACATTTATATGGTTTCTCACCTGTGTGAATTCTCGGATGCCTGCTGAGGAGTGACTTCTGGTGGAAGCTTTCCCCACATTCATCACACACATATAGTTTTTCCCCTGTATGTGTCCTCTTATGTATTGCAAGGGGTAACTTCTTCATGAACAATTTATCACATTCACTACATT